CAAATCTTTCAGGGGGTCTGGGGGTGCCCCCCCCCCCACCCAGAAAAAAAATGAATTTGAAAACGAATTTCCTGCCTAAAATATTTTTAAAAATCACTAACACATAGGATGGACTTTTTTATTTTTTACAATAATGTCTAATAATGTATTGTATTGCATTGCTCTGTTTTTACTTGTTTGCCTTTTCTTGTTTCATTGTATGTAATTGCAGAGATTAGGGATTAATAAAGTACACCATTACCACAATCATATAAACAGAAATCTAGTTTATAGCAATATATTGGGGGGGTAGTTTGAGCATATTTGAATATTGGGGGTGGGGGATGTGTCCCTCACCCCCAATATATATTATAATTACGGCCTTGCCTTGAATGAAAACAAAACTCATTGCATCTCTTGTATGAGTGAGGCACGACCAGTTTGCCACTTGTTTCGTTACATTTTCTATTTAATGTAATGACGTTTTTGTCAATTCCAATAAATATGATGGGGTTTGTTATTCGGATATGGCATGATAATTGCAATTTGGTCTCCATCTCAATTGACTCCAACTCTGAGAAGTGTTTCAATTTTAAATGTTGTCATCCCAGCAGGCCTTCTTAACCGAATCAAAGCATCTCTCTTCAGGGTAATTACACAATTATTGGATAATCTTCGCAAGTGCGGTTAAATGTGCGGCGAATACTGTTCGCATACATACTTACACACAAATAGACATGCATAGGGACACACTCACGTAAGATTTATGTAGTGTATTTAATCATCGCCCATAATCTATTCACTGCTAGGTAAAGACTCCAAGTTACTATGTAAACCAAACACACGTTTTTCTAAAACTAAATCACACACATCGACCCACATTATCTCGTCTCGTCTGACCATCACTGTTTGGCCTTCCCTTTCTTTTGTTTTCCAACCTCTCCCTATTTGGTGTCTATTCTGCCTCATTCCATGCATTGATCTTCTACCGGCACCTGGATGGAAACTCACATTTGCAACGCAAGTCAATGCCCGGGTGGACCACAAACCACCCTGGGTTCAGCTCTCGCCCTGTACTTCTCGTTGTCGAAAATACAACATGTGCCTCAATGGAAAAACCAAAACTAAATCGTATTGAAATATGTCTCCATGCTCAAATGTAGAAAGAAAAAATGAATACCTGCATGTGTTACCTCTCAAATGTGTAGCTACAAATTGCAATTTTATGGTGGATCGTACAACCCAATATTCTGCGTATATAAATAAACCACTAAATCACGGAAAAATATATTTCCCCATGCTCGAATGTAGAAATGAAAAAACACCTGTACGTGAGGGGGTTGGGGGGAGGGGGGTTTGGAGGGGGGGGGGGCATAAAACCCGCATCATGTAAATCCGATTACCCCGTTGCCTGGTGACCAAAGGCTGGGTCTTGGTGTATCCTCAACGCTGTGGCCATGGTAACAATTGAGTTGAGCCCTCGTGTGCCGGGAGAGGCTCTTGGTGCCTTCTTCTCCTCGACGTCTCTCCGAGCGGCGAGATTGAATGGAGGCGAATGCTAAGCAGGCGAGAAACAGAAAGCTATGCAAGCGAGGATTACATTGAACCCCCACCCCCGAATCCGCCACGGGAACGTCCTACTGCTATCCTGTGAAACATTTTGTGCTCATTTAGCTTTTGTTGAATTGCCGTTTAGCAAACGGCATCGGTGGCCTGAAAAAAGACGTTTCTTTGGAAAATGTTGACCCAGAGATTGATGATTGACGCCCGTGAAGTCAATAACGAGGATTGTCATACTGCCAAGTTGACGAGGAAAATAACCTCCCCCCCCTCTCCTCCCCCCCCCCCGTAATGCCTTCAAACGAGAATTGGCCACGGGCAGATGTTTAAGTGCACAGACGAGAGCTAAAAACCCGCACACATTTGCTCCGAGGCACATAAAGGGGATGTACAATTTTGATTTAAATTTTGATTTAAAGCTTTCGTGACTGCAGGGATTCACATTCTTGGTTCTTTCGGTAAAGTCACGTAGAAGGGAAACAATAAAATAATAAAAATATAAAACAATAAAAAAATGTTATGGTGGATTCGGATAATTTATCCTATGTGGAAATGCGCATTTGCAATTCTTTAGCAGAGCCGCTTGTGTCAATACAGAGGTGTGCACATCTTGTTCCCGGCTAGAGACAATGGACTTTATTATTTATAACTTTTAGTTTATAAAGCTTTATAAACGTAAAGCATTCCGGGTATATATATATGTTTTACTCCAAGCACACTTGAAGTGTTCTTCGTCAGCTGTGATCTATCGACTGCTGAGTGAAGGCCTCCCCTCACAAGTCGTCACCCATCACCACGTGGTTCTGACATTAAACAGCCCGTCTGGAACCTGCACACGGAGCCGATTTCATTGCTCCATCTCCTCGGCGAAATGTCTCTTTGTGGCGTTCCATTTCCTGAGCCATTCCTGTCACGATCCTTGCCCGTCGGTCATAATCCCTTATGGGTCGTGACGTGTCCTGCACAATCCACTTTGTTTGAATGAGGTCATTACATCTTCACTTAAAGCTTTCGTGACTGCAGGAATTCATAGTCTTTGGGTCTTTCGGTAAAGTCACGTAGATAGAAAAATAATAATACAAAAATCACGACGTTCCGATCGCAACACAAGCAATCGTCTTCAGGTGAAAATATATATATATATATATACATTTTTCTCCTGCCTCAGCAGTTCGCCTGCTGTCTGCTGTATTTATTCGCCTGCTGTATTTGTTTCTCTTCACCTGAAGACGATTGCTTGTGTTGCGATCGAAACGTCGTGATTTTTATTATTTTTCTATCTCCGTGACTTTACCGAAAGATCCAAAGAGTGTGAGGTCATTGAACTTGCTTACACGTGGTCTCAATTTTATGCCGTACTTTTTTCAGTCTCCCAACATAATGGCAACAAAATGCGTACTAGCTGCTTCGACATGTGGTTCGGAACCCAAAAAAAGGTGCGCATGGAAACACTTCAAAGTATTTGTTTAAAAGTTTATTCTTGCTTGAAAAGTAAGCGGACATAGATGCGATTGTCACCAGAAACACACTGGCTTCGCAACCTTACATGGACCATGACTAGCATGTGCACAGAGAGGGAATTGTGCCAATTATTTACACAACACACGCCGTGTACGTCAAAAAAGTTGATATGGGGGGGGAGAAAAAGACACGGTAAAATATTAACACTGATGGTAAATTCAAGACATCAGTTAAATTCGCACCTCCAATTAGCACGGTTGGCTACGTACGGTGCGAAAGAAGTTAAACATACATACAAAATGAAAAAAAAAGTTGAGAAAATGTCAAGACAATTCTGCAGCCAGCACAGATAGTGAATCTGGCTTTGGCATTTTCCAATTAATTCCCCAAGAGGACCCCTTTAAAAACCAAATCAAATTATTTCTTAGCATTTGCTCGTGACGAGTCACAGCTGTATTTGGAGAATTAGCAAATCCTTTACTCAATGCTTCATTTCTCATGGAATATTTTTAGCGCCCCCCCTAACCCCTATCACCCCCCCCCCCCCCCCCCCCCACACAATGTAAGTCAAGGTGGAACTCAACCACGGACAGCTCTGTACCAGATCAAAAAGCTACATCGCTACAACATCCTACAGAACTACCACTTTGCTTGGGCATGTCACCGTCAAGCCCAGTTGTTAACTTGCCAAATAAACAATTACTGTGGTGTATGCCCACACAAATAATGTCATACACGAATGCACACATGTACTCGGGCATCTAAATATTAAAACAAATTCTGCCTGAAAATGTTTTCAAGGTTTCTTTTTTTATGTATATATAAAATTCATGGCAAGGAAATTGATAAACAATTGCCACGATGTTGCGTGGTTTAGGTGTGACAAATAAATTACAATTCTAAAGCACCTTTCTACACAGATACTCAAAGTGTCCGATGAAGAATTTCAGGAAATCCATGTATACCCACCTTTAAGGAAAACATTCTAAGATTGTTTTCAGTACAATATTGACATTGTCAAGAGCTTATTACGGATGTATACATATTTTTCCCATTTCAAATGTAACTTTTCTAAATTATTGTAAAGGGAAAGCAATAAAACACAAATTCAAAAGTTACCATAAATGTAATAAAAAAGTTACTTCTTTACTATATTGCACTTACTGTACAAATATGGTTCTTATTATAAAGCATTTGCCTCTCTGCCGAAGTTATAATACAACCGTGAAAATATGCCTTAAGATTGAGCATTTGAACTTCATCGATCTACGCTGTTGTTCTACTTTTAAATTGAAATTGCACACAAGCGACCGATTTTTCGTCATCGTTTACAGCAGGGATTCGAAAGTCTCCACGTAAAAATAGAAAATGTGCATGTTCACATCAACAGAGAAGCGACGCATTTTTTTTTTGTCCTCAAAACTCATAGTACCACAAAGACGAACACATTCATGACGCACCGTAATAAATACCAAACAGTTCCAGACTGCTTCTGTCCTCGGCCAAGACGAACACTCACTCATCCGTCATCCCCTTATCGCAGGATACATCGTTTAGAGGCGGTCGTTGCCAACCTTCCCGGGCCTGCAGGGCCCCGCTATCAACCCTTACAATTTTTATTTTTTGTGGACCACCGTGCGGTAAGTAAAAAAAAACAAGGTGTTTTCACGGAAGAGGAAAGTGTCTGCAACAACTCCACGCAGCCGCGTTGCCCCAGGGCCTGGTGAGGCTCCCCGGTGGCGTGCGGGCTGCAGGTTTGGTGGGAACCCGCTGGGGTTTCAAAAGCGTGAATCGGCACTTTGCTTCAGCTTCAATGCGTAACAAGTATACCGTTGACGTAACGTAGACAGCAAGTGAAAATAAAATATAACTCTTAATAAAAAAAGTTGTTTGGGTTAGATTGCGTAAGTATAAATGCGTCGTAACCCTCCACCACCCGACACAGCCAGTCAGGTTTATCACGTAAACAACGCGTCAATTAGTTTACTACTTCAGCCTACCGGTGTGTTGGAGGGTAAAACCCACAACATTTTTCAGATTGTAAATTTTATTGATTTACTTACGCGATCTAACCCAAAAACTTTATTACGAATAATATTGGTCGCGAAAGCCTACGTGTTGAACCAAAATAGAACTAGCTCATGAAAATGCATCGAACATCAATCTTCTGATCTAAGAACGATGCTCGAAGTACAAACGCAATACGGAATTACGTTTAAAAAAAAATCTTCAAAAAGGAATCCTGCACGGTCGTCCCATGCAAGGACACTTTGTTACGTGCAGTTCCACCGTTTAAGACGTTCTTGCGTTAGTTCTTTTTTCCTGAGAAAAGGAATCGTGTGAAGTGCCGTGCCATCGATTGTCCGACAAAAGTTGTGGCTTTTGTCAATAAAATTACGACTGCAGGCCAGTGAAGTGCGCAAAAAAGTGAGGCACTGACCACAGACGACGACTGGTAACCGGCACAGCTGTCAGTCTACGCAACGGGGCGGTATTTGAAATGAATAGGAGCATTAGGAGGGTATAGGTAAATGCTTCGCTGCTTAATTTCACTCAAGGATATCACCCTGCCCACCACCTTCCAACCTCTCGAAATTGCGTCGCAACCCGTTTCTCTCGCAGCCTTCGGATAAAACCGAAACGCAGCGATCGTCTGCCGTCTCTAAGACCGGAGCATCGGTTTGAAATGCAGCTTTTGGTAAAATCTACCGCCGTTTCGATTCTCATTCTTGTTGTTGCTGTACATACAAATGACACGCTCAGGCTGTGACGTGCGCCTCATTTAGTCAGATCCAGGTAGAGCTGCGAGCGGAGGAAGCGAGGGTAAGAGTCCTTCTCCATGAGCCCAAAGATTCGCTTCTGGGCCACGTCGAATGCGTCCGCCGTGGGCTTGGCGAGGTTGGCGGCAGTCAGCTCTCGTGTGCACGAGTCCAGATTCACCTGCGGCGACGGCACAGAACGTTTGAATCGTCGTTATCACTCTCGTTCCTTTAAATGCCAAACGAGCATCGCGCTCTCCCCCCCCGGGTCTCCCGCTGGAAACAACTGCAGGGATCGTACGGCTGCTTTCATCGGTGTGGACGTTGAATTTATTTCGCGCCATACGTAAACAACCGTGCCAATGGTGCGAAGGTTCTTAAATCACCACCCCCCCCCCACCCACCCACCAGCCATCGTGTCTACCCAGCAGGATACACAGGGACACGAATGTAATCATCATTTGGCAATACAGTCATTATATGTGTGTATATATGTTGAACTTCTTTCACACCGTACGTAGCCAACCGTGCTTAAAATCGGAGGTGTTGTTTAGAGATTAGCGATGAGTTTTTTTTTTATTAAAACCATATAAATAAACCCGATTTTGAAGTTTTAAGGACAATTTGACATTTTTTGGGGGGTATTTTCAGATCTTCGTCCAAACATTAATGACGATCAATATGAAACAAAGAGAACATGTGATTGTCCGAAATGTTTAATTTCCTGAGTTTAGAATTTTTTGGATGAAACGGAAAATCGGGAGCACATCCGTCTATATATATGCACTCGGGATATGTTCCCAATTTTTAGACCAATATGAAATTTAAAAAATCAGGCCTAAGCCACTTAATGTTGTACGATCCGAATGTATTTTATTTTTACATTTTGGAATGTGATGTCACTTCTGTGCTTTTCCTGCCAAAAGTACCATTGCCCGACATTATGTTGCTGAAATAATTGAAATAGAACAAAAACGTTCACATTGAAATAATTATTGTATTACACTGATGGAACCTTACGTCTAACAAAAATATACAATTCGACTATTGACACTGAACATTTTTTACGGTGATACAATTCAGAGCGTGACCAGTTACAGTCACAAAAATCTTATACAGTGGTACCCCGGAGATCGAACTTAATTCGTTCCAGAAGGCCATTCGAACATCGATTTGTTCGAGTTCTGGTGCATTTTATCTCCGAGGTTCGACTGTACACTTTTAATCCGAGGGTAAAATCTCAAAGTCGGGCCGACGAGTCTGAAGGTGGGGGTCTCCTTCGGTGTCTTTCTCGAACGAAACGTCGACAATGGCATCCCCCCCCTCCGCCAATGATTTCAATGCGCGCCACACAAGTGGGGGCTGCTCGACAATGGGGTGGGTGGGGGTGGGTGGCCCCACCCCCCGTGTGGCCGCAGGTTTTTCTCCACAGGGCAGACGGCGCCTGATCAAAGGATTTCTCGCTCGACCTTCACATCCGCTACTCAGTCTTAAAAAGTAAAAAAAAAATTCATTACTTATTATTTGGGTCTTTCGGTGAAGCCACGTAGACATGGCTTCTACGTGGCTTTACCGAAATACCCAAAGAATATGAATTCCTGCAGTCACGAAAGCTTTAACGTCAAGATTGCATTACTTATTTTCTTGTTTATCCGTCCACCCGTCCCCGTCGTATGCATGCACATTCAACTTCAAACAAGAAGGGGGAAAATCATGCCGAAAATATTCCGCGTCGCTAGGACATGGTGGCCCGTGGTGGTTTAAGTTTCTGTTCGTTCACCTCGTTGGGGGACTGGATTGCGATGTATTCGGAGAATATCTTGCGAGCCTTGCTGGTCAGCTTGGCAGCAGACTTTGTTTTTTTGTAGTCCTCGCAGGCCAGCCAGAAGTTAATGTTTTCCTCGCTGAACTCTGTTCGTAGAAATGCTTGGAACGCGGCCAGGCCATCTGCAAATGAACAGGAACACATTAAGTGCGGTCTTTCGATTCCTTGCAACCGTTCGTTAAAAGCCGGATTATCGCTGAAACGCCAAGCGAGTGAAACTCTTGAACAAGTACACGATGACAATCGTCATCAGCAGCAGTCATGGTCAATCCCCTGCTGGACGAAGGCACCCCTCCGCTATCTGTACGTATGTCTGTTGAACTTCTTTCGCACCGAACGCAGCCAACCGTGCTAATCGTTAGCCGACGCCCTCTCGGATGCGATCCATTCCTTAGCTGCCACTCCATCCCTTGTCTTTACCATTGGCCATCGTCCCTAATATCCATGCATGGCGTGTCCTGCCCAATCCCATTTGCTCTTCGTAACAGTTGCAACCGCGCCATTCAACCGCGAAAGTTCCCTAAATTCCTCTTTCCATCATAAGATTACAATGCGCTCGAATATTCCGAGTGTGGCGCCAACTTCGCAACTTATTCGAATCCCCACCGTTCTCGACAAGCGTGAGAGCGGACGTCGGAGAGACCCTCGCCGGCCAACTTACATTTGTGCACGAGAAGTTTGTCCAACGACTCGGCCCAAGCATGCGCCTCGTCCTGGCTGGGCCTGTGCACGGGACGAGGGGGAGAGGAGGAAGGCGCGTGAGCGAGGAGGCACACGGCACTCAGATGCAGGCGAGCCATCGCGCGCGGCGACACGCAACCACTCCCACGGACACCGCTGTCCACATTCGCCGCTCGGCGTTACGCTCTCTCCCTCTCTCTCCCCCTCTCCCGCTCTCTCTCACCCTGCTACACCGATTGTCTGAATGCCGGGTCTAATAATTCCAGCCCTCCGTTGCTCCTGCGAGCGGTAGCTGACGGGGTGTCGGCGGCGAATGGAGCCGTCCTCTCGACGGATACACACACAAAAAATGTATAATATGGAGGGCGCGGACACGTGCACCGTTCGCGAAAATATACACGCACGCAGATAAAAAAAACCCGACGTCGTCGTCCCAGGATATCGGTTGATCGCCGCTTTTCAAACTACCGCTGTCCTTTCTCCCCTCCCGTCGGCTGGACGCCTCTCAATCGCAATCGCAGGCCGATTGCTGCTCGCAGAGACGTCACTGTAGTGATGCGATTTGCAGTCAAGCCCTCTGTAGTCGCAGATCGAAGCGACGATCAAGTAAACAAATAGATAAATGTGCGGAGCGAACAACTGCAGGGAATTCTGTTCGGGAAAAATGTGAAATGAAATTACTTAATTTGTCTTTACACGATGCCCGACGTTGGAACCTTGTTGCGTTTGTGGCATGTGAGAGGAACATTTTTACGGGGCAACTTTAACCGTGGCCCGGTTTTGAAAGGCGTCTCGTAATTGCAAATAAGCCGGGTTGAAGTGCGGCGATGTGGCTGCACGGACACTGGGAAAGTGAGTCAAGCGGAAATGCTCTGGTCACGCCTGTCCAGTGGGGTTAATAGCCATATCCATGGAAACTATGATCTCCATGGCAATAGCATCTTCTCCTGGTGCAGGACTTATACGAGCCACGTTGATATTGCCTCCGCCAATTCGGACGTAGCGCCGACTTTCATTGAACATTTGACCGATTCCATTGAATATTTCACCAATTCCACGGTTCCGTTTTCCATTTTAATGCTCAGCATTTTAAAGTGCTTCATAAATCCGAAATAAAATATAATTTTGCGGTGTGCGCGCGATAAATACAAATCGGCAAAAAATGTAACAATTGACTCAAGGTCAAACTAAAGCAATCTGTAAACATGTGCATACGTGAAGATGTATATATACATAAAAATACCGCAGAGCTGCGCACACGTGGCTTTTACAAAAAGACAAGCGACAGCGTCAATTGGCGGCGCACGCAATTTCAACAGGGGCCCAATGCACCGTTCGCCGTGAAACGGATCGCAAGCGGCAGGGCAATCCCTCCTCGACAATTGAATGTCCACGCAAGCGCGAGCGGAACGCGGTAACCCTACGGCCCCTTGCGCGAGCCCCCAAAACAATTCTGTGCCTACTAGGTTTAGGAAAGCAGACACACGTCCTTGACAATGGCAAGCAGGCTGCGTGGAATCGCCCGGACGTGTGCGTGCCTGCAGCGCGCGCGCGCGCGCGCACACGCACGCGCGCACACGCACGCGCGCGAGAGAGAATTACCACGGGCTTTTATTCTTTTGTTGTTACACAGGACGGCAAAACAATTAAAATCACCGTATTCTCTCTGTGTCCACTTGAAGCGCACGCTATTTCTAATCGCACCTGTGATCATTGACGTCCGACAGAAACGCCAAAAATAAATTTATGCTGTCCGTTGCGACGGCAATGCGGTATTAAGTCTCTCTCTCACCACGTGTGGGCGCGCACAGCGATTAACAGCGATTGACCACGATGTCCCACATCGCAGGGGGATGCTGCGTTACAAAATAACCCCCTAGAGTCGCTCGCCTTAAATTAGATAACGGGGGGGGAGGGGGCTGCCCTGCCCCCTCCCCTCCCCAACTTCCTTCCCCAGGCTCTTATGATCACATTCCCTGTTTGTCATCCTCCGCGCATGAGCAACAGAGTGAGTCGTGACTCGTTTCATGTTGAAATAAAATCAAAGTGGCCGTTTCCCTGCGGGGTGTGTTGAGCAAGGGGGGGGGGGCGTGCGTGGATCTGTTGAATGCTGCGTAAGCTTTCGAGGTATTTCTAAATGGTTAGGTGTAGTACGGGGCATGCTTCACGACCCCTCCCTCCCCCCCCGGATGACACCCCTTCAGACACGTGATATTTAATCTCAAAGGGCTGATCCGGGGGATTGTATGGTAAAGGAAATGTTTAAAATATATTATTACGATGCGATGTGAGGACGTGAAACAGACTTGAGAAAACACGAATCAAATTTGAAGATGTCATAACAATCGATGGGAGCATGCAAAGCGGGAAAGAGGAAGTTGATGTTTGGTAAATCAGAAATCGTAACCTTTGCTTCAATATCAGGATGGGGATTGAATATGCACGGTAGTAGAGAAATTACGTGTCTGGGCTTAATAAAAAAAAGAGCAAATATAACCCCAGGAAACACGAATCGTCAACTGTTTCACAGCGCGGTGGGATGAATGCACATTACGAACAATGTTTTATTTTTGCCTCCCTCCACCCCCCCCCCCCTCTCATTGCAAACTACTCTCCCATTGCAGAAACACTCTCAAGACTGTCATACTTACGTTTGACAGTCTTGGGAGTGGCGATTGCTCTAGTAGTGCGCGCTAAGGGACGCACAGATAGGTGCACACGTTCTCAGTTCGGACAACCGGATTGATGGAAACGGTCTCGAACATATTGCCGAACAATTGCATCCTCGCCGTTGTGACAGCCGCTTGCACCGTACGCTTGACCGGGAGCTCAACGTGGCTACACGGAGGCGGTTGAACGACGTCGCTGCGTTAACGTGACGGACGTGACAGGCGCGCGAGTCTAAGCGAGAGTGCAAGCGAGTGCGCGGCTTACTCTGCAGTTGATTTGCCGTTGTGATCAGCTTCGTTTTGGGTCACGGGTTTTCTCCGTAGAAAGCCCAGCCGACTCTTCATCTCCTTGGCTCTGCAAACGATCAAGAGCATCGTGAGCGTTACGTCAATGATTTATCAACGACAGTCGCGATTCTCTCATCCGCTGCTGCCGTGGGTTTCGTCGCTGTTGTACCGTGGCGTCGTGACATCACAGCAACGTCAAGCCCTACTGGCAGAGCAACCCACCTGTGAAACACGGCACCTTTTTTCTTGGGGGGTTGGGGGGGGTGGCATGGATACTACACGTGTTAAAATAATTGTTCTGATTTCATATGCTCTCACTGTAATGAGTACCTGTTGTGACATGTGTACACCATAGACTAAAATACTATGGAAAATGACACGCAACTAGATGGTTTCTATTTTTGTGTAAACTTACATTTTTATTTGTCTCGATCATTTCTAAGTATAAATTTGGTGGATCGCACAAATGTTGTGAAACTCCCTTCCCATGGACGTCGTTGAGGCGCTATACCCTGGCTCGCCAGGGGAAGGCGACACAGCAAGTGTGGAATAATCGCCGTCTGTTTCCATCTGGACAGGGGATAGAGCGTTTCCCCCTGCAGGTGCTCCAGTTTCCACCCACTTGCATAAAAATTCACTCGTCATTAAGTTGGCAGAAAAATAGATGGGTACTGCGAAAGATGCGCTGCTGTCTTCGGTGGTACCGATATCTGCTCTGGCCCATGGACTAAATGCAATGAAATAAATACATGAGGGTATGTTGGATGCGACGAGAGAAGGGGCACAGAATATAAACTCGTGGAGAAAAAAAATCCCGTGAAATAATGCAGCTTTTGGCTTGGGAGATGGAGAAGTACGTGGCACTTCTAATTTTACATGAAAGTTAAATGAATGTATTTTACAAAAAAAGTTGAATTCAAACGATCCTGTTTCGTTCGCTGTGATTAAAAACTATTTACATTAGCCACAGTTGAAACACAGGTGGAAATAAACCACATCGAATGCCATGCACGTGACCCGAGCCTACGGACTTAGAGATTCTAATCCTTACGGGATGAGATCAATGGATGCCACGCTAATGGGATAACAACAAATGGAAGAGAAATATGAAAACAAATGTATTTATACCGCTTGACGTAAACGAAGAGCGTGATAAACGCGGGCATCGCTCATTTTGTAAAACAAGGATGAGCGAGAAATGGAAGGGACAAAAGGCGCAGCCCTGGCTTTGTACATCTCCGCACTAATTTAATTATGTGGCAATCTCAGATGAAAGGACGCTTGGTTAATAATAACTCATGGCCAGGTGGCTCAACGGCAGAGTTGGCGATTGCAAGAATTGCGAGTTCAAATCCGAGTTGGGGATTGAGTCAGCCCATCATCCCTCTGGGAACAATAAAATATGTACCACTTTGTGAGAAAGCCAACGACGATTTCACTGCAGATCTAAACGCTCCCACCCTCCGCAATAACCATGTGGAATTTTCACCACTGACTCATGGCTGTAAACAGGAGTCGAAGACCGTCTGAATGCTAATTTGAGCAGGAAATCACTTTTGGCTCATTTTTCTTTTGGGACGCTAATTAAAAATCACAGTCGTGAATCATTGTTGGTGGTGACCGAACTGGGCCTGGCACACTGCCCGTCAAACGCTCGTCTGCGTTCGTGTTCCCCGGCAGTGGGGCGCATCGAAGCAACTCGCGGATGAAAGGGCAGCCGAGTTATAACACCGAACACTTATTAAATCATCGCTGGTGGTGACTTTAACTGGGCCTGGAACACTGCTGTCACACAAAAAACCGCCCGTCCGCGTTCGTGTTCCGTGGGCAGTGAGCAGGACGGAGCAAAATGACTCTGGCCAATGTTTTGAGCGAGTTCGTGAATTCCAGTTGTGATGGGGGGTGGGAAACGACGGGAGAACGTTGCAGGGGATATTTTTTTCTTCTTAAAAATCCCATCTGCTCTTCCATTCCAGTGATTGAGCTTGATTTATAACGAGAGCCCGCTGTGAACTACTTTAACAGTTCTATTTCTGTTTTTCATCTCCCATTACTTCACCGTTTCACGTCTCCTTTTTCCTTGGTTGTTGTTGGGGAATTGGCATGAAAATGATTTCTGACCTAGGTTTCAACTTTTCCTTGGCACATTTCCTGGTCATAATTCACCTCGCACTCCCCCCCCCCTCACGTTATCCCTCCTCCTCCCCCTCCACCGGCCACAGCCTAAACCGTGCCCGCTCTCAGCGCACGTTCGTCGTCCACCCCGCCCTTTCCTTCCCAACAGCATCCTTGCGCAATCCGTGATAATGAAAAGCAGGCACAGGAACAGGCGAAGGGAGGGCATGTGGCCGACGTGACTAACCCAGCATACCTTGCATCCTCTGCTCCACCTCACTTTGCTCTGCACCCCCCCCCCCCTCTCTCCCTCTCTCTTTTGGACCACCCTCAAGACCACCCCCATCCCCACCAACCTCACCTCCCCTCACCCAGCGAACAAAGACAAAGACCCCCCGTGTAACCTTCACAGACTGTTGGGGCAAGTGCTCTTGACGAGTAGCAGCACCTATGTAAGGTCTGTAGGGCGCGCGAGGGGGTGGCTGGTCAGCACCACGCTCGGCCGCCTTTGTCTCCCCAGCGGTGATGTTAACACACCGCACCGGGTACTCATTTGAGGCTGAGTCGACCTAGGTGGAGACGCAGGACCGGTTCAGATCATCGTCGTGAGCCGGAATCGAACCCCCCCATTGCTGCATTCTCTCTGCCCTGTACAAGGGCCCCGTGATGACGCTGAGACTAACAGGGAACAGCTTTCTCTTTGCGCTTAACGAGCCAAAGCAGCAAGCAGGACATTTTGTTTAAGTCCAAGAGCAACGCCCCTTGTGATTATCAATGCACAGGCAACCCATTGCACGCGTTTGGGCAATGGTAAATGTTCAATAGATCGACATGTGGCCATTGTGTTAACGTATTGCTTATACTGTACATGGCATTTGAACTCGGATAATGTAACGCGTCGCTTAGATAAAAGTGCAATATTTTTCTGATAATTAAAAAAAACACCTTTAGCTCAGCAGCTAGCATAAAGCTGGCAATGTTGCATTTACAAATAAAAATACATTTATACATATAGTGCATAATTACCAGGAATTCAAATCTACTTATCGAAACACAATCATCAATCATTTTGAATTGTTAAGTTCACTACGGAACATGAATTACAATAACAGCGACATAACCGTTTAAGTCACGCACAAGAGTGTTTTGTCGTTCTCGGTACACTATTATTTACAATTATTTCACAGTACATAACCATAAAACATAGGGGGTTTCCGTAGCCAATAGGGAACCTAACCATTCACCACCCGACGCGATTGTCTCGTTGATAAAGATTACAATTTATTGGATGTGCCAATGAATTCGGTCAAATTCTGACCAATATCGCCCCCTCCTCAGCGGTGACTCTTTTCATGCCTGAATGTAACACCAACAACGGATTTAACATCAACACACATCATCAACACACATCATCAACACACGCAGCGACGGGACAGTTTAGAGAACGCATCAATGCAATTTCGCGACACGCTATTTTGCCGCTTAAATAAATTACCTTTGCTATGCTGCGTTGGCACACGCACAATTAAGAAACAGCATTCATCAACATTCGTCAACCATAACAGAATCAAAATATTTGTATTTACACTGGAGGAATCCGATAAGCTATAAAGCTCTTTTACACAGATGTTCAGTCGTGGCGGGTAAGAACGTTACAACAACAAACAGTGCAAAAGCGTGATAGGACGGCAAAGTACAATAAAAGTTAACAAACCACCCAAACATAAACAAATAATACTGAACCATCCCCATCCTACCAGTCAAAGCCCACCGAGGCATTAACTTATTGTTCAAAAGCCACCTGGCCACAAATAACAGCTCAACAAAGTGGCTTATCATAACACTGTGGCATGAGAAAATATATATTATGGCCGACGTTTCAGACAACTGTCCTTCTTCATAGCACATAAGGCTCAACCGACTTCCTGTGCTATGAAGAAGGGTCGTTGCTCGAAACGTTGCCTCATATATGTTTTTCTTCTCATAAGGCCACGTGACGAATGTGTCGAGTTTCATTACTGCTTAGCAAGTATTGAAGGGTCAATGCCCAGACAACGGTGGCAATGTATCACGGTGTCGTGGTGCAGTTGCTTCGGCAGCAGAGATGTTTACCTCTCTAGGTAGCTGGCAGGAGCCGTGACTTTCGTGTTGCACATGGCTCTCAACTTAGTCGATCGCCACCGGGTGTTCGTTGAGAATAAACAATGCTAATAGTTTGCACAAATTAAGTATGTTCTAGCCTGTTCTTCCAAGTCGTCGAACCAACTTTTGCGTTGTTGTTGCTGTAACCGCTGATTTAAACGAGAGGGGGGAAAAAAACAACAAGAAGAAGAAGAAGACTCCACGCTTCATGCACTGCACTGTGTCTATAGGAGGATTTCAGAGTGAGGGCCACTCAATCGTTCAGAGTTTTGGGGCTTGCCTCGGCTCTGCCGGGCGGGGTATTTAAACGCCTGGCGTGGGGGTGTGGGCGTGCAGCCCAAACTGCTTCTCCCCCCCCCCCCAACCAATGGGCAAGAGATCCGTGGGAGCGCCGGCCGCTGACGTCAAGGCGCACGCTCGCCGGCTCCCTCGGTGGGAGAGACGAGGGGAGGGCCCATCCCGAGCGTGGTCGACTGCACACAGTCACTTTGACACGTGGGGACCCCACGACTCCTCGGTTCGTGCCAACGTTTGCGAACGCTGTGCAAGCGGTCACTTGTCAAGCGGACTCACGACAAGGCTGGGCCCTGTCACGTGAAATTCTCTCTACCCGACGAACTCAAGAAGAAAAACCTTGAGTTCAGCCACTTCCAGGGAGACCTTAACATTAATTTAATGAGCACAGCGTGACCAAACAGCAATGCGCATGAGAGATTATATTAGCATAATGTTGTGTTTCCTGAATGGTTATTTACATTATATTATACCAATCTTTGCAAACACCTTTTTTCTGTTTTTACCCACCCCTCTTAGTAGGGGGGAGTCAACTGATTTCAACATTTCACGCTTAGCTTATCACACCAGCTGGCTGAACTGTTAACAGTTGCTGTCCAAACACTGCAAGACCAAAATAAATCACAGTGATACCTGTTTTTATACCTTCTTGCAATGAAGGGATACATTTTTCAGCCAGCCATCGAGAATTTTCTGATTCCATCCTCATTTTCATTCAAAATAATACATGTATATGTAACTCTAAAGAAGAGGAATTGTACAAAACACAAGGTTTTTTTTGCTTAAAACACTCCTGGCAATTTAATTGATACGTGACATTGACCACATGCTTTGTGCAGGGAGGGCATCTGCACAGCTGAGCTAAACGAATTTCCTTGTAATAAATAAGTGTTGCCTATCTCGTAATGCAATAGAGCTGAGAAATTAGAATTGTCTGCGAATTTTGAAATGAGCAAAATATATTAAAATACGGTGTGGAACCAGCTACGGGGATATTATTAAAACAAAAAAACATATATATAAACCGTAAAATAGACGGCTGTGGTTAATCGCAGAAAATATACACGAGACCGTTTTGTCAACAGGGGATGATCTGCCGTGGTATAGCGGTCAGTGCATGGGACTTGCAATCCAGAGGTCGCTGGTTCAATTTCTCGGCGTGGCACTTGCAACATTGGGGCAAGTTTCTTAACCCGTCCCCAAACCGCCTCTGTCCAAACAGCAGTATGAATGTGCACACCATACTCTTTGGTTCTTTCGGTAAAGTCACGTAGGTAGAAAAAAACAATATATCACGACGTTTCGATAGCAACGCAAGCAATTGTCTTCCGCCTGATGACGATTGCTTGCGTTGCGATCGAAACCACGTGATCTATTATTTTTTCCACCTACGTGACTTTACCGAAAGAACCAGAGAGTGTGTATTCCTGCAGTCACGAAAGCTTCAAATCAAGATTGCACACCACAGTTTGTCGATCGGCTGGTTACAAGCGGTGGGGTAAACTGTAGGGTATTCTCACATCTTTCAGGACATCTGGACAGCGTGGAAGAGTAGGCCAAACACTCTCACGGAGGCCCTTCCGACACCAATGGTTGCGAGCAATGGAGGCTGCACCTCTTCTTCCTATTTTAGTTTGTCGAGAGAGAAAAAAAAACGATTCTGTTTGCTCTCGGCAGCAGTTGCCACGGCGGTCATGGCTACAGCACGCTAAGAGCAGGATGCCGTATACCGTGTCCCTTTGAAAAAACGGGGATGTGCAGGGAGTCACGAACCACAATTTGCGCGTGTCTTTATGAGGGTTTGAGTCACCACGAGCATGCGCGCCTGCTGGTGCTGCTGCGCTTGGCGTGTGTGCGAATTAGCGACCAGACTTTGACCCTTCCCTCTTCCAACGCTCCCACAAAACGCCATCCCCATGGGTCACCCTACGAGCACGTGGCTTCCCGTGCACCCTGGACCATCGCCACCCCCCTATTGTTCGCGTTCAGCAAAAATGTTTTTTTATAAATAATTCAGCCACAGCCAACTTCCTGTGGGAAAGAATGTTTCCGAAAATTCTCACAATGTTTACAACAATATATTGGAACACATTGAATGTTCTCAACGGGCGGTGCTAAACCCGCACTTGGTAAATGTGACGTTCAACTTTACACAGGTGCACGTTAAAAATAACTCTTCGTGAAAAATCATTCTTATTTTTCTTCCCCCCAACAAAGTTGTTATAAAGTTAAAGGATGTCAAGTAAATCGTTTTTTACAAAACATTCAAATACAAATAGGAACCAGTTCCGGCCGTTAGTGAATTCAGCCCCGACGAAGCTTCGGAAATCTGAATGGCGTTTAAAACAAACACCTCGTTGTGAAAGACCCAACAGATGATTCCCGGTTTTGATCTTCCACGAAGCTCATGGTCCACCCTAAACCTCATCCGCACACATAATGGCAGATGCGGATACCTGATACACAAACGGAAAATGTAAAACTCTACGGCGTTGTGCAACTGTGGTCATCCAGAACTGACCGTTTGCCATATAACGACGCAATGCCCCATCCACGAATAAGAAAGAGACATCACAGCGATACACTCCTGCTGCTTCTGACACAGTTGTCTGGCTTGACCACCTAAACTTTGAAATTTCAGTTGTTGCTCTGCAGCTACATCAGCCATACGAAAGAGAAAGAAGAAGTTCTGGCTCTCCTGCCCTTCAACAGCCTGCACTGACCAGCGTGGTGAAGTATGGTCAAACAACCCACATGATCAACACAGTATAAAGAGGGCTTCATCCAGCGATTAATCGACAAAGGGCTGAATATTATATATATTTTAGAATATACATTCAAATAATTTGCATTTTAGCTTGTTGTCATTCTCCACAATTATATCCTGATTGTGCTATCCGTGTCATGTCACGAGTCGAAGTGGCCACTTTGATCTCAGAGCAGTGCTACCCTTCATGTGAGAGAATGGCCCGAGAAGCAGATATTACACAGCTACCTCTGGAGTCACTTCAGTGACACATCGCGGCCAGCACCCTCCCACTGCCTGGCAAAGAGAGCATCGTGTATTGCATGACAAACTGGTATAGTTCATTCTCAGAGCTGGAATGTAACCAAATTAAGTTCTGAGAAAATCAACTCACTACGTTTGAGAATTTGATTTAATAACAGATGGATGAAACCCAGATTCAAAACCAGGATCTCAGCGGCACCACTTTAAAAAAACATTCTTTCACATTGAACTGGAGGAATATTTAAATAAAGAACAATGGATGACGAATTTCCGGAATCAATAATTGAGAAGCCGCTTTTTGGCCACACGCCGCTCGCAGTGACACTTTAACCCAGTGGCCCTGTGGGACGTGTGGCAGCTGAGCACACACACACATGCGCGCTGGCGACGAGCACCTGCCGAGTGGCACGGCTGCATGGGATACAGAATCAGAATCTTTATTCATACCGGAGGAATCCGATGAGCTATAAAGCTCTTTTTCACAGATGTCCAATTGGGGCGGGTTAGAAAGTTACAAAAACAAACAATGCAAAAAACACGATAGGGGTTCCAAGTATGGGAAAGGGAAGCAAATCAATAAAATAAAATATTCCATTCAATTTACCAGGTCATACCCACTGAGCCATTCGATTATTTTTCAGAAGCGACATGGCCACAGATGATAGCTCAACGAAGTGGCTTATTATGTGGACATTTATAGCAGCCAAATATTTTAAACGCATTTTTATATACGCTGGGTCCACCGAATTGTTTAGCTCAGACTGCGAAACCAGAAACTAGTGTGTGTTTTATCCACGATACATGTCGCGTTGACAGATTTCAAGTAGGTGGCCGCACACACTTGAGAGTTTGACGATGGTGTGGACCAGCCACGTGAAGCGATAGCTGCATGTGGTCAATTCCACGTTCATAGATTTTGACAGCATAGGGCACGGAATATGATGATCGCAACATTTAATACAAATGTCATTGGGTTTTTTATAAGGTGCTAAATATTCTTGAAATGCGGCTCCGTGTAATGCATAAAACAGCCCATTTCATCTCTGAGCCTAGCAACGTCTACATTGCATAACGCGCCAACGCTACGAATTAAAGTGATAGGCCGCCGATTGTCTAAGCAAATAACACGGATTTGTAAAAAAATTAAAATCACTTATGCGTAAAAAAAATGTTTGAAAATCGGAAGCTCGCCGCTTATATTGGTAAGGTTGCCAAGCATGCTGCATTACCATTGTAATCCCACTGTTGTGAAATGGCCCATGCTGTAGGCATAATTCATGTGTGACCAGGGCTTAATTTCAGCCGGAGCTATCCAAGGCTGGGCTACAGAAAATATTTCCTCTCCCCTACTCCCACCCCTCCTCTTCTGCCACTGCTTTCAGGTAGGAAGGAGGTGAGAATGGGATGGTTGGGGGGTTAAGGGGAACCAGAAAATATTTTTGTAAATATTTAAACTCAGTGCTTAATGAGGTTACCCGCTAATGTCAGTGTTTAACTCATTATGCAAATGGTAGACAGATGTCACAGTGCCTGCAGTAAACACACTTGCAGTGCTGTCCGCGCAAGGGAGGTTGCGTGCATTCAGATTTTCGTTGGCTCGATTCTTCGGCTGCACCCCCGTGACGAACGTGGTCGCTTCGCTGTTTTCATTATCAGCAGATTTCTATCAGATCTGGACGCAGCTTGCTTGCTGCACACGCGCGCGTAATCCGATGCGATCATCGCTGACGTCAACACGCCTTTAGTGAGATCAAACAATTAGTGAGGTTCCTTTGCCTGTTTCGCGTCGTCTGTTACTATATTTGTTTTGCCCTCGCTGCAATCTTTCATAAAGGGAAGGGGAAAAAAACGCGAGTCGAAGGCAGCCGGATGTCTGATTGTTAGCTGTGGATCGTGGATAAAATATTAGACAGATATCTTAAAACATATATATGATGCGCAATTAGTTACTTTAGGGTTGGATCGTGTAGGTAAAATTTCAACTACAAATCCAGACACTCAC